CTTTGCAATCCTCAAAGTGCTATATAAATATTGGCTATTAGTGTCTCTGGGACTCAGTTTCCTCAGTAAAATGAAAGCTTAGTATACTGCCTGGCACATAGTAGGGATTTAGTAAATGTTTGTTGACTTGCCTTGAAAGAGTGGGACTCAATGACCTCCAAAGCCCCTCCCAGCTCTAAATCTATGGTCTATCATACTATAAATTCAATCCCACTTCTATGGAATAGCCCTTCAAATATTTGAAGGGGGCTGCCACATCCCCACCTGAGTTTTCTCTTCTCTAGTCTAAACATTAGCAGTTTCTTCAAATAATCCCCTTATATCCTGGTCCAGTGCTTAGCACAGCGCCTGTCACATAAGAGGCACTCAAATGCTTGTTGACAATTTCCAGCTCTCCTTGCCATCCTGGTAACTGCCTTCTAGTCTTGCTCTAGTCATCAATGTCCCCCTTAAACTCTCTTAGGTCTAGAACTAAACCCAAACCCAGGATCTGAGCATTGGAAAGGCACTTAAAGGAGTCCAACCCCCTCATTTTACAAATAAGGAAACTGAGGCCCAAAGAAAAGTGACTCACCCAAGGTCACACAGCCAGTAAGGAACAGAGCTGGGTTCTGAACCTGAGTTCTCTGAGTCTCTATTTAATGTCCTCTGGGGAGAAAGGGCAGACAGGAGTCCTGTTTGGACTACATGACCTTGATTTCCCTTCTGACCCTGACAATGATTCACTTTTCTGGGACACTGACTCCCCAGGGCTGGTCAAAGGCATGAGTGGGAGTGAAATTAAACTTGTCTTGGGCCCCCACCTCATTTTGTGACCCCCCCTCATGCTCTCTCCCTCCTTTCCCCCTCAGGAAGAGCTCTGAAAGGACCTACCCTCAGGAAAGGAGCACTCCAGGGTGGGTGACTGCCAGCCAGGCTAGGCCTTCCCATCCCAGAGCCACTCGTGTAGGCCCATGCTGGGGGTCTGCCCCCTTCTCTCCTGGGCTGACTTTGGACTCAGCACTGCCTTTTGCCGAGCTTCAGTTTCCTGCCTGTAAAATGAGGACGATAATCCCATGTCCTGCTTAGCCCAGTGTGGGGACTATTGTGAGAAACTCAAGGAAATGATGTGTGTGTATTCACTGCACAAAGACAAGGCCTCAGTTTTATTTTAGCAGGGCTGGCTAAGTCTTAAGCTAAAGGTATTAAGCTCTAAGTATGCATGTTCAGGCATCAGTTATCAGAGTGGGGGGAAGTATTTCTAAAGCCAGCGTAGCCCTCCAAGTACACCCTACAGGGATGAGGAGGGTCCTGCCAGATCCCCTGGCCCAATTTAGGGTAGGAAGGAGGCAAGGAGGCCAGACCTGCCCAAATGGGGATTCGGTTCCATTCCACAGATGTTCAAAATACAAGTCGGATGATTTGAGGAGCCTGGGGGAGGGTGCCCCTGAGCTGAAAGAACTTAGGAATTGATTCTATGAGGGGGAGGGGAAGAGGGAGCACATTCTAGTTATTGGGACATCCTTAGGAAAGGTAAGAGGCAGGGAGGGAACTCTGAGTTTGGAGCTGTTCAGGTTATCTGGAACAGAGTAAGGGAAAGGGAGTAAGTCTGGAAAAGTAAAAGTAAGAGTGTTTAGAATGAAAAAAAAGTGTGAACCAACCTGCAAAGTGTTCTAAAAGCTGAGCTAAAGAGTTTGAATTTTATTTTAGAAGCAACAGAAGCCATTGAAAAGTTTCGACGCAGTCAGACCTCTGTCTTGGAAATGTTGATTTGGCAGCTCTGGCGTGCCTGGCATACATAGGAGTTTGATAATGCTTGGTGTTTGTTTAATAACGATTGCTCATTGATTGGAGAGGGGAAGGACTGGATAGAGACCAATTAGGAGGCTATAGTGATAAACTAAAGGTGATGAGGTGGCTGTCCTGGAGGGGTGGACAGATGGGAGACATGTGATAGAAGTTTAATCCGAAAAATTCCAATGCTTAAAGGGAGGGAAAAGCAGAAGGATCCAAGAGTGGCTGTGACGTTGACGTGGTAGAAAATGGTGGTGGTTCCCTTGACAGAACTAGGAGAATTTGGAAAGATGATGTGCTCCATTTTAGACATGGAGAGATGGACATGCTGATGGGAATGTCTGGCAAGCAAATGGGGTAGGGGACTGAAGCTCAGGAAGGAGGCATGGCTACAGCTATAGACCTGAGAGCAGGGGTGCCCTGGTGAACGTTTAACAACCAGCTCATGTACTCAGAAGCTGAACCGGCATTAGCAGCGTTTTCTCTATCACTTTCTTAAGTCTAGACAACGAGCACAACAATAAATCAAGCCTTGATTTGAAGTGTTTGCAAATTTCCAAGGAACAAATGTTCACGCTGACAATTCAGCACCAGGCTCTGTGAGCCGTGTCTGAGCTGGCTCCAGCACATCCCTGCCTGGCCATCACCTGTATCGATGGTAAGAGAAGCCATGGGAGGGTAACGAGGTACCCATAATTCCAGGAGAGAAGACAGCCAGGACAGAGCCTTGGGGGGGACTCCTGCCCACTCCCTGCACTTCATTGGGAGGGGAGAGGGACACTGACGGTGACCCACCGAGGAACTGTCAGGTGAGAGTGTCATCAGAGAGACCCGGGGAGGAGAACTGGGTAAGATTGGAGGCTTTCATAGGCATAAAAGAGGATGAAGGCAAGTAGGGGCAGGGGACCTAGGAGTGGCTCCACTCTTCTTGAAACAGCCCCAGGGGATGGCACTGGTGTTCTAAGGCACTCCATTGGAACACTTGGGGCCCTGGTTGGGGATGGAACTGAAGCCAGGATCTGGATAAAGTAGTAAAAGCAGCAAACTGTGGTCAGAAGGAGCCATTGCTGCTCCCCTTTCTAGGGGAAACCTTGAAGGGTCCTTACATTCAGTGCCAGGCTAAAGAACCCAGGCATCCAATAGAACGTAAGCTTCTTGAGGCCAGGAGCCAAGTTGGTTCTGTCTTTGCATTCAGCAAGTGTTAGCCTAGATGGCTTCTGAAGTCCCTTATAGTTCTGGGTCTAGGAAGGCCGAATATAAGTTGACTGACTGACTAAGAAGGCACCAGCAGCAAGTCCTGGGCCTGCTCCCCAGAAACCTGGGGCTCTTTGTCTGTGTCTCCAGGGTAAAGCCAATAGACTGATTTTTGTTTAATGCTGCAGCAGGCTGAACGCCTATGGCTTGGAAGAAAAGAAGTTTTAATTTGTGGATCCTCCCACTAACATTTTCTACAAATATTTTCCAAGCTCCCTACTGTGGGCAAAGCATCGTTTTCTGCATGTGCAGAGGCCGTAGGTAATTGACTGCTTTCATTGCCAAATGGAAGCTTCATTATCGTAGCAGGGCTGGTATTATTATTACCTAGAGGACTGAATTTCCTGGTTTTGTCTCCATTCAGGAGGGAGGGGAATGCCAGTCTTAAGGATACTTACCATATCACTAGGACACTTGGACAACATCAGCAGCTAATTGTAATGTAATTAGCCAACAACCCACTTGCCGTTACAATGATTTATGACTCCTGAGTGCTCCTCCAGCCTATACAACTTAATAATAATGCTACAAATAAACAATTGGCCAGGCATTGTGAAAGCCTTAGTATGGTACCCTTAGCCTGTTAATGGCCATCACATTCACTGCTGATCAGCTCCAGCTCAACTGAATTCCCAACCTGGGTGGTTGAGAAGATCACTGAGAAATGAAACAATTCATAGAAGCACAGGATTTATAGCTGGATTGGGCCCTTAGAGACCAAGTCTGATCCCCTAATTTTATGGGGGAGGAAGCTTTGGCCCAGACAGAGCAAGGGATTTGCCCAAGTTTCCATGGGAAGTCACTGGACATGTAAGCCCCTCCAGGGCAGGTACTGTTTTGTATTTTGTCATCTCCAGTGCTAAGAAGGGTGTCCAGCACATAGACATTTAAAAGTCTCTCTCTCTCTCTCTCTCTCTCTCTCTCTCTCCTCCTCCTCCTCCTCCTCCTCCTCCTCCCTTTGCCTCAGAATGTCTCTTTCTCTCTCTTACAGTCAGGGAGATGATTTCTGGCCAAACCACTGCACTCCCTCATCTCTCTCCATACATTTCTAAGGTGCTTCCCAGCTCTCAAATATTCTGATTCTCAGTGCTCTCTGCTCCACCTTTGTGGGGTGGCAACACCCTGACAACACCCCGAGGGGAAAATATCAATAATGTATTTATTAGCAGTCTGGAAGCACAGCCTGTGAGGTAGGTAGTGCAAACAGTATTTAAATTTTTCCCATTTTGACAGATGTGACTGGGATGTAGACATGAAGTGACTTGCTTAGACTTAACAACACAGGAGGGATTAGAACTCAGGTCTCCTGCCTCTAGGTCAGAAGCTTTCTCCGTCTCTCCTACAGAGCATCCCTCCATAGACTTGGCCCTACCTGCAGTGAGAAGATCGGTCATGGGACTCAGAGGCAAAAGACCTGGTTTGAGGCCCCGGAAGTCATGAGAGAGGGCCAAAGACAGCTCGGATCTACCAGGCCCAGGCCAGGGGCTCTAAGTGCTGGAGCTGTCCAGCAAAGGCCGAATGCTTCCCTTAGTAACTCCCTCCTCTGTGCGTCTGAGTCTGAGCCGGGTCGAGTTCCACCATAAATCCACTGGGAAAAATGTACTAGTGCTAGCTTTCTCTACCAGGAGATGCTCCAGCAAGCCTTCCTTCTCACCACCCCACTGGGGCACATCTTTTTCCAACTTTATATTTCCTAAATCACATTTGTTCAACTGGCTCTTGCTACAAGTCAACCTTGGCGATAATACTGCTTGTTGTCTATTTAGCATAGGCTATGTACCTCCCCATTGCTTTTGGGACGCCTTACGATTCTTTTTGGACATTGTAGTATTTCATGATTACCAGGCGCAGGGCTCCACCAGAGTGCTGCTGTTAGAGATGGGCTTGGGTTGGGCGTTCAAAACCCTGTGGGAGCCATCTTGCTCTTCCTCCTCACTCTACTCTGCACCCTGAGCCATGGTCCATCCCCCATAGGTTTCTTCGCATACCTTCTCCAGTCCTGTTGCTCTCCGTGGCTATATTTCTGCTATTCACTCTCTTATTGGAAGGGGCCCTCCTTGGAGATACAAAGACGGAGTCCTAACCGTCCCTGCTCTCAAACGCACATGGAGCACGTATATGGAGCCCAGCCTGAAGGCTAGAGATTCTAAGAGGTGGCCGCGAGCAAGGGGAGCTTTCCAGACATGAGGGGCCACAAGCTCAAAAGCACGAAAGCAAGAGATGTACAGCTGGGGACCAGGAACAGGAAGTAAGCCGGCTTTGCCTATAACAGAGGGCGAAAGTGGGGGAGCTAATGAAACAGGATGGGAAAGGTAGGAGGATTGTGGCAGGCTCTACTCGCCGGGCTTTTGCGTTTGACAGGCAACTGAGGCCATCGCAGACTTCTGAGTGGCAGAGGCTGGGTGACAATGGTCAGGCCCATTTTAGGAATATTAACCTGGCAATTTTGTGGTAGCGAGATTAGAGACAAAAGTGAATGGACCTAGGAGACCGATCGGGCGAGTACTTAGGAGAAACTAAGAAAGAATTAGGGCTGGGGTTGCGTGGGCAAAGGGAAAGAACCCAGGCTTCAGAAATACGGCGGATAAGCCACGGCTTGGTGGACCACTGGACTGGGTTTTGGGAGGGAGGGCTGGAGATGAAGGAGAATGGGAAGCTGGGTGCCAGAGTGCCGGTGGCCTCCGCAGAAATGAGGACGTTTGGACAAGGGGGAGGCGGGCCGGGGCTCAAGGGGCTGGGGGAGCTAACGAGGTCCACTGGCCACGTGGCTTTGGAGGTGCCGATGGGCCACCGAGGCGGGCACGTCCAGCAGCACCTGGACCCGTGGCCTGGGGCTCAGGAGGGGATGGTGGAATCGCCTGGGTTCTCTGCACTGTAACTGATACTTGGAGGGCGGGGTTGTCCGCAGGATGAAGTGAGATTATCTAGGGAACCTGCTTTGCAATCCTGAAAGCGCAATAAATGACAGCGACTATTATTCGATGTTCTCGGTTATAAGGATTAAGAATTATCGAGCACGCGTGGTGCACGCGGGCGCGGGGCCACGGCCTAGGCCTCGGCCTCCACCTCGGGGCGGAGCTCAGCGCCGCCCCTCCGGCCGTGAGCACGTGGGGGCCATCCATTCCTCCGCCCCACTCCCCCACCCCGCCCTCTAGGCCGGCCCCGCCCCCTCGTGCACGTGCAATGCCACGAGCTCTCTGGCCCCGCCCAGGCCTTCCATTGGCTGTTCCTGATTCTTTCCCTCCCCCCAACCCGTGCGCCTAAGGACAGCTGCGGCTCCACGTGACCCAACGGGCGGCTCTCCGTGAGGCGGGCTCACTGTGACATTGGCTCCCGGCCCGAGCCCTGACTCTTCCCCCTCCGCCCCGCCCGGCTCTCCATTCGCGGCGGGGCTGGAGGGTTAGGAGGCCGCAGCTTTAGGCACGGGAGTGGGGGAAGAGAGGGGAGCGAGGGAGGAGAAAGAACCGAGGAGCCGCTGGTGACACTCGCGTCTGCGGGACCCAATCGGGAATCGGAGGCGGGACCTTGGGAGGCGCCGCTCACCGGGCCCTGCACGTGCCTTGAGGCCCCCCCCCCGTCACTGTACCAATCAGAGCGCCGAGCGGCGTTCGCTCCTCCCTCCGGGGGCGGGCCCATCACGAGGCCGGACCGCGGGCCGCGGGGGTTCGCCTTCTGAATAATGAATGTGCCGGAGCGCTCCGGGAGGCGGGGGAGGGGAGAGGGACTGTCTGCGCCTGCGCAGTAGTGCCTCACGGCAGCAGCGGCGGCTTCTCACGGCGGTCTCGGCCAAGAGCTGCAGCCGAGCTCGGCGCGGGCCACCATGTCCGACAGCGGCGGGGCCGAGAAGAAGCCTCCGCCGGAGGCTGAGGTGGGCTCGGGAAGGGAAGCGGCGGCAGAGCGGGGCCCACCGGGCTCCTTCCCGCTGGTGCTGAAGAAGCTGATGGAGAACCCGCCGCGCGAGGCGAGGCTCGGTGAGGGGGGCGGGGCGGGACGGGACGGGGAGGGGGCGGCAGTGCGCCTGCGCGCAGGGGAGGGGGAGGGGAATCGATGGGGGAGGGGATGGAGGGGAGTGGGATTGCTGGGGAAAGGGATGAAGTGGGGAGGGAATAGAAGAGACCAATGGGAAGGTGGGTGGAGAGGGATGGGGTGGGGGGGGGTCAGAGGAGGGGGTGGGATCACTAGGGGAGGGGAGGAGAGGAGAGGAGGAGTCAGCAGAGGAGGGGAGGGGGAGGGGAAGCAGTGGGGGAAGGGGAGGGGTCAGTTGGAAAGAGGGGGCCCTTGATGGATGAGGAGGGGAGGGGGATGGTCCACTGGGAAAGGATCAGTAGAGGCGGGGTAGATGGGGGAGGAGGATGTGGGCGGGATCAGGGGGTCAGAGGAGGGGGAAGAGTAGTAAAGAGCCAGGGGGAGTGGGTGAAGAGGAGGGATTGGGGGTGAATGCGGCATTGGGGGGGGAGGCATGGTCGTTGAGCAGGGATGTGGGAGATGCACGGAGGGGACGGTGGGTCCGAGGGCGGATCCGGGAGTGGAGAGCTCCCTGGGTCTGAGGGGCCAAGTGAGGCCATGTGGGGAGGTCTCGGGAAATGCCTCTCGCCCGTGTGGCACCTGAAGGTTTGCAGATCGCTTCACTGTCTGCTGGTCTGAGCCTGGCCACGGGCCTGGGAGATAAGGCTGTGATAAGAATAGCTTGTGTTTCTTTGCCCTTTAAGACTGCCTCTACTTACGTTTTTCCTTTGGGCCTTAGGACGTCTTTATGAGATAGGTGCTATTCCTGTACCCGTTTTGCAGATGAGGAGATTGAGGCTTAGAGAGTGTAAATGACTTGCTCTTAACCATGTGTAGCCAAGGTGCAGGGTGATGGGAAGGGAGGGGTAAATGGCATTGAGGTGGGTTGTGGCGGGGGGTCACTGGAAAGGGAACTTGGGGATAGGCTCAGGTAGTCAGTGAGGAATAGTGGTGGAGTAGGTGCAAGGAGCATTGAGTGGGAAGATAGCATAGGGGTCTAATGGGGGGCAGTCAGTGGAGGGATATCAGAAGGTTGGCCAGCGTTAGGGATGGGGTCTTAATTTTCTTGGTATATGTACGTATATATATATATATATATATATATATATATATCTATGGAAGGAAATTAATCAGTATCAGGAAAATGTCATTTCCTTGAGAGCAGAGATTAGTCTCACTTGCCTATTTTTATCCCTGTACCTGACACATAGTAGGTGCTTAGTAAATGTTTATGGAAAGGATGATGTCCTTCCACATCTTTGTATCTCCAGTACCTGACCACTGTCCTACACAGAAAAAAATCTCGATTCAGTGTTGACGGTATCAGTGGTGTAAGTCAATGAGGAGGGGAACTGCTTTTTGTCCCTAGGTTAGGGCCTGAATTATGGGAATTAGCATCTGCAGTGAAGCACTCTTCTGGGGCTGAGAGACCCTGGGCTCTGCCGCTGCTCCTTGGCACCATGAGTGGGTTCTCCACTGCCCCCCAAAAGGTCCTCTAGGGTAGGAAGTCAGGTTGGCAGCAGAGGGCCTCTGCAGCCAGGGTCCAGGTCCTTTGAGGTGTGTTTCAGATTTGAGTCTTCAAAACCCTAAATGCGATTCAGAAATGTGGGAGGGAGAGGGGTGAACGTTCCCTCTCCTTCTCCTATGTTGACCTCACTTTCTCTTGGCTGTCATTCCTGAATTATAAATACCCCTGGCTTGTCAGGTGAGGCCAGCTCTTCCTTTTCTCTCTACACTGAATGGGCTCAGGACTGCTTTTGTTTGTTTTAAGAGGGTGATTTAGCTCCAGGCAGGGGCCTGAGCTGAGACCCAGGGAATGAGTGTCCTGCTTAGGGTGACACAATAACTGAGAAGGCTTCCCAGTGTCCTTTCCCTTCCTAACAGAGATGCTCATGAGCCAGTAATGATATTAATAATAATATTCATCATCCCTCGTTAAGACTGGATCCAGTAGCTTGCTGTCCTGAATCTTGGGCAGTCGAGAGAGCTCTTGGCTTTGTATGAGCTGGTAGAGATTAGCCAGGCTTGGAGCTGCCCCCGAGCCTGAAGGAGACCGGTGGGCTGCTGCATCTCATGGATGACCGGCCTAGGGTGGCAGGATGTAGGGCTGAAGGGAGGCCCCAGCCCTGGGTTGGTGGCCTGGGACCTTTGTCCCATGTCTCCTTTGATCTTAACTCCTTGCTCACCAGTTTCTTTTTCCCTAATGCTAGTCTGAACTTGGGCTAGCTCAAAGCCGGCCCTTCCTGGGCTCAGCACCTTGCCCATGGCCCCTGCCTCGGGTACCGCTGCCCCTTCTCCACCTATTTCTGACCCAGGTGACCTCACTGCTGGTGGGCTGGCAGCTTGTCCGAGCAGTGTGTGGGGAGGTTTGGCTCTCCATAGATGCTCTTCAGACTGACCCGGCAGAGAAGGTATTTGCTGGGCATTAAATTACGTCTGATTGGAGATCACTCTCCAAGAATGATTGCAGGAACCTCCACCCATCTCGCTTGTTAGGCCAGTATACACCGAGCCAGCAGATTTGTTTTCCTGCTATCTGTTGTCCAGGCCACCAGGGGCCAGTTTTATTTCCAGTGTAACCACATTCGTTTTCCTCTTTCATTAGAGGATTCAGTTCAGAATTCTCTCCCTCAGATCTTAAAACCTATTGGGAATTTTCCGTAATTCTACCTCCTTTTTGCCCTGATTATGTTTCTGCCCCTTTCCTTCTCCTTAATTCAATGAAACAAACATTTATTAAACACCTGCTGTGTACTAACCACTGTCCTGGTTGCTGGAAATAAAAAGACAAAACACAAAATGGTCCCTTCCCTCAAGGAGTTTACCTCCTCCTGGGCAATTACATATATCACGTGTGCAGATAAATAAGCAAAAATAATTCAAGGAAGGGAACCTCAATGTTAATGAGGTTCCAGGAGGTGGACATGAGGGGGAAGGGCATTCCAGACCTGGCAGACACTCTGGGCAAGGACCTGGTAGCCGGAAATGGGGAGTGACAAACAGGACTTTGAGCAGGCCTGTTTGATTATAACAGAGAGTACATGAAGGGAAGGAATATGAGAAGACCAGAAAGGTAGGTGGTAACCAGATTGGAGAAGGCTGGAAATGCTAGAAACGTGAAGTTTGTAGAGGCAAAAGGAAGACATAAAACATTTTTGAGTATTAGGTAATTGATCTGTTTTAGGAATATTGATTTGGCAGCTGTGGTGGGGGTAGGTGGGGTGAATTGGAGGCTGGGAGGCCAGTGAGGAGATGATTACAGAGATCAGAAGAGGATTGAAACAGTTGAGAGGCCAACAAAGAGAAGGTTGTCCAGGTAGGCCAGAGAAGTCTTGGTATCTGGCCGTGTATGGGGGTGGGAACAGGAAGGAATCACAGGTAAAGCTGAGGGGGTGAACTTGGGGATCTTGAAGAATGAGGTCATCTGCTTCTTATTTTTGACACTCATTGAACCGCCCGCCTGGCCCTGGGCTCCTATTGTGCCTGAAATCATTAGGGAGCTTCTCACCTCCGTCCCTGATTGAGGGTTACTCCTCTGCCCCCAACCTCCCCGACCTGACTGCAGGGCCTTTCTGGGGAATTGATCTGGCCTCAAAATAATTGGGACTGAGTGTTAACTTGAAAAGTTTGGAAATAGCAGCTCCCCCTTCTTTTCACAGGGTAGGGGTTGTGTGGACCACCTTAAACTAAGCCATCACTGTACAGTACCTGCAAGCCTAGTCGGGAGAGCGGAGAACATTCTCAGGTTCTTACTTAGTGTCAAGGCACTTTCCCCCGAGGTTGCTGAAGTGATTAGAACCCTCATTTATTCCTTACCTTCAGCACCTCGGTTTCTCTTTCCCTGTTCCCCCTGAATTCTCTGTTTACTCTGGGACAGCTCCAAATCCTAGATTTGCACAGTGCTCCTATGGCACCAACTCCAGCCTCAGGATTTGGAGGTGGTGCTCAGGAGAGCCTTGCCCTTCAGTCCAGCTCAGCAAACATTAGCTCCTCTGTCGTGCAGAGTGCCGATCGGGGCAGTGGAAGAATCAGAGACACATCTCGGGTGTCTTTGCTCCGTGTCTCTTGTGGCCTCGGTCTGGGAGACGGGATGCTCAGATTTATTTACACGGGGCAGCAGTAGGACGTGGGTGGATCAGCTGGGATGCTCAGTGTGAATGTCCTCTGGATGGGGTCAGAGGGTGGAACCTCTCCGTCACTGAGTTGTCTCATTCGGTGAACTTTGTGTCTATAGATAAAGAGAAGGAAAAGGAGAAACTGGAGGAAGATGAGGTGGCTGCGGCTGGCACCATGGCTGTGTCTGCCTCCCTCATGCCCCCGATCTGGGACAAAACGATCCCATATGATGGCGAGTCCTTCCACCTCGAGTACATGGACCTGGATGAGTTCTTGCTGGAGAACGGGATCCCCGCCAGCCCCACACACCTGCTTCAGAATGCGCTGCTGCCTGTGACCGAATTGGAGGGGAAGGAGTCAGCCAGCTCTTCCACAGCCTCCCCGTCGTCCTCTTCCACCGTGGTCTTTCAGCCCTCAGAGACCGCCTCCAGCACAGGTTGGTTATGGGGGGACTGCCCATCTGAGAGGGGTTCTCGAACATAGAGGGACCCGGCCCCACGTCTGTAAACACCGGTGTCGACTCACTCACTAGTTTCTTTCTCCATCTACAAGATCCTAGGAGAGCTTTGCAGTTAGAAGAAGTACTGTCTTCTCATACTTCTTCACACCCTTCAGAATGATCCCCCTTGCAGCAAAGGATAAAAATAGTAGCCGCCTAGGCCCTGTGGAAGTCTTTCTGTTGGTTGATAGCGCTACAGATGGTCAGAACAATATAGGGAAAATCAGAACCACCCTGAGCCTTTGCTTAGTAAAAAAAAAAAACAAAAAAAACCACCTTGTCTGTCTGTTTCACTGGGGTCTCACTCATGATCCTCATGAGGCATTTTTGCAAAGATATTGAGTGAGTAGGAGCCATAAACAGACATAAAATATTCCCGGTTTCACAGTTGGTCAACAAAACATTTATTAATCACATCCTCTGAAAATAAGCAAATTTGGAAGCCTTTCTTTCACATTTTTTTTGAACTTCACATTTGTGGTGCTTTGTCTGTCTTCATCTCATTTAGAAGCGAGCCCCTCATAAGTGTAGGGAGCTGCTTCAGACTTGGAAAGAGTGGCTTTGCTCCAAGAGCCGTTGATGGGAAGGCCGGGCTAGCAAGCACCCAGGCCTCTACTTATTGTCATGGAGTCTCCGAGTGGGGGGGGGTCCTAGAGGTTGGCTTGTCCGGTCCTCCACATCAACTTCCTTTGTATCTACTTTGTATTTACTTTGCTGTGTGCAAGTTTTCACTCAATAGAACCTAAGCTCCTTGAGGGCAGGGATTGCTCTTTGTTTTGCCCCATCCCTAGCACAGTACCTGGCACACAGTAGGCAATTAATAAATGCTTGAATGAAGAAAATCTCTGCTATAACATCTGACAAGTGGTCATCAGTATCTGCTCAAATAATTTCTGTAACAAGGAACTCACCTGAGTTTTGAAAGATCACAGAGAAGAAGAAAAACATTGCTGGATTGGAGGGCAGATGTCCCAGTTGGAAAAAAAAAAAGGAAGAGAATGAGCTGCAGAGCACAGTGAGCATAACTGAATTTTCTGGGGAGGGGTTAGACTTTTATTAAAGGGTTGGTTGGTGACCATATGGAAAAGGAAGCAGCAGTCCCAAAGGACAGGCCAAGTCCAGGGCGTGCCAGGCTGACGGGGTTACTCAAGTAGGAAATCAGGGAAATCCCAGAGGTAAATTTGCCTGATTTTAGTAAACTATTTGACAGAGTCTGTTGTACTCTTCTTTTGGAAAATGTGGAGAAATATGGGCTGGACAACCACAGAGTTGGGTGTATTAGAAGCTGGTTGAATGTCCAGACCCAAAGAGGGGTGAGTCATGTCTTGACGGAATCTTGGAAGCTGTCCAGGGGAGTGGCTTTGGAGGCTTGGAGAAAGGCATCAGCAGCACCCATATCAAGCTAATACTGGACCATGGAGTCAGGCTGCAGAAATGTCTCTAGGGCCTCAAATCCGAGCTGGCTCTACTGAGGCCAATGCTTTAAGTTTAAGCAAGGTGAAGCGGAGATCCCAGTGCGTGTGGGATGCCATCTTTGGCTGCAGTCGCCCAGAGGGCGAGAGGGGAGCACAGGGAGGAGAGGCCCGGCCTCCTCCACTGTCGTCGCCTCACCTGTGCAGGAGTCTCTTTCCATCTGGGCATCGTCCTTGAGGGCAGCCAGGGCCCGGGGAGTGAGGAGTGGGGAGGAGACTCAGGGTGTGAGCCTTGAGAAGGTACAGAAGAGCTGGGACAGTGGTGCTGAAGTCCTGGGGAAAAGAGAGGACAGAGCTGGAACAGAGAGGCCAACTGAGGCTGGGGATCTGGAAGACGCTCCTCTCAGTGAGAGCTGTCTGCCAGGGAAATGGGCCACTGCAGGAGGTGGTGCTTCTTTGGGGAGAGGCTTGGTGCCCGCCCCTCTCCCCTGGTCAGGGATAGTGCAGAGGAGGAGGCTGAGCTCTGAGCGTCTGTCCTGTGAATAATGTCACCTGTTTCAGATGGTTCTCATGGAGCAAGCTCTGCCTTGTCTTGACCTGTAACTTTCAAGCCTCAGTTTTAACCTTGGCCTCTGGAGGCATCTGTCAGCCTATAAAACATTTCAAGACAGCTGTCCTGCTTCCCCCCCATCCTTTAAAATCCCCCAGAGTTTCTCCGTTCATTTCCCACAAAACATTTTCACGTCCTCGAACCATCCCTGTTACTCACTGCTACATTTTCTAGAATTGCATGTCTGAGCTCAGCAATCTGCTGTTTGGGCACCCAGGGATTCTCCCAGTCAGACAGCAATTTGTTTTTCCCATGGACTAGTCAGTGATCTCAGCAAACTGCTCCCAGACAAGGGGAAATGAATGGCCAAGGTGGGGTCTAGGTTCGGTCCTGCTCACAGACCACTCTTGAGAGCCATTGTTCCCCGATCCCTTTAGAATTTCACAAAACAGAAGCAAGTTCAGGGCCATCTTGACTTTAAACTTTGTTTGACTTTGTGGAACAGGTCAAATAGAAAATCACTCCAATTCTTTGTGCCTTTTAAATTCTTTCTGTGAACTGTGGCATTGACTGACTGTCATGTGTTAGGGGAGCTTTTTCTTTTAAGTGGCGGTTGTTTGTGCAATATTTTGTGTTCTTACAGAACCAGGATGATTGCATTTTTGGAAAAAGAAAGTACCACGTATTTAGGAGTGGGGAGATACGTATCTGGTGATAAAACCTGGATCTTTGGGTATACCAGCAGTTCCCTATATCCGTGTGATTGATCGAGCCCTTCCTCATGTGTCTTTCAGAATCCTCTGTGGAAAATGAGAGAGAGACCCCCAGCCCTATTGACCCCAACTGTGTGGAGGTGGATGTGAACTTTAACCCTGACCCTGCGGACCTGGTCCTCTCCAGTGTGCCAGGGGGTGAGCTCTTCAACCCTCGAAAGCACAAGTTTGCCGAAGAGGACCTGAAACCCCAGCCAATGATCAAAAAGGCCAAGAAGGTCTTTGTCCCTGATGAGCAAAAGGTAATTTGGTTTCCATCCTGGGGCCCTGGTGGCTGGCTAGTCTCTGTCTGTTGTCCTTTCCGTAAGGTGAGCCCAGTAGTCTGTGAGGGACAAAGGGATCCTCTTGTAGCTGGAAGGACCCTTCCGCTTTATAAACACACTGGAGTAAGATGTAATCAGTAATGGGAACCCTGTCAGGCAAAAACTCGAGCAAATCAGAGGGATAAGCCGGTAGACGCCCTGTTTTGGGAAGCTCTGCTCTGGGTCCTGGGCAGACTGATTCCAGGAGGCCTTTTAGTGCCGGAAGGGACGCTGGAGATCGTGCTGTCTGGTCCCTTCCTTTTAAAGAGAAGAAGGCAGAGACCCCACTCCAGTGACTTCCAAGTCACCCCAGTAAAGTTAAAGGCCATGACAGTGTGCGAGCATCGGGCTCCTGGCTCCTGGCCCACTTCCCCTTTCCCTTCCTTACGTAGCTCTTTCTGATTCTGTGCCTTGCTTCTCTGACAGCCAGCAGGCCAGAGCTCCCTTAGCTTAGAGTCAGTCCTTTCAGGATGGCCAGGGAAATGCCAAGAGGTGGCTTCCTCTTCGGTCAGAGGCCCTGCAGCCTTTGGCCCCTAGGGACCGCTTCCCCCGCTCCGAGAGGAGCCACCTTCCGGTCCACTGAGAGGACCTGTCACCGGCTGGCCCCTACCCTGGGGGTCCCCTGAAGAAAAGAGCCAACTTAAGCAGGTGTCCTCACGTGTCGCTTAGTGGACACGAGGCTGGATTTGGAGTCCGCGGCCCTGCGGTCAGACCGTGGCTCACTGCTGACCAAGTCAGTTCAGTGTCAGTGTCTTCCCCTGTTAGCCTGGATGCTGTGCCCGGGCTGGGGGCCTGCCTGTGGAGCAGAGGAAGGGGGGAAGGCCCCTTTCCTGCTGGAGACCGTTAAGATCTCTCAAACGTTTCACCCAGGATGAAAAATACTGGACGCGCCGGAAGAAGAACAACGTGGCCGCCAAGCGTTCCCGGGATGCCCGCAGGCTGAAGGAGAATCAGATCACCATCCGAGCTGCTTTTCTGGAGAAGGAGAACACGGCCCTCAGGACGGAGGTCGCGGAGTTGCGCAAGGAAGTGGGCAAATGCAAGAGCATCGTCTCCAAGTACGAGACGAAATACGGACCCTTGTAAGCGCCAGCCCCTCTCCGTGTTAGACATCTCTGCCGAGGGACTCCCAGAGCGAGTGTGTGGGGAGGCGTTGGGGCTCACCACAGCTAGCCGGAGGTCCGCTGCTCCCGACCTGGCTCGTGCCAGGGCCCTTCTGCCCACGTGGGTCCCGTAGGGCGCATCTGGAGGACTTGGTAACCCCTGACTCTGGGGGGCAGGATTCCTCGCTGGTGGGGAATGAAGGGATTCTGTTGAGATGGGTGACTGCCCTTGGACATCCCAGTTGGATTGGAAAAGGGACCCTCTGGAGTGTACAGCCTCCTTTCACTCTTTGACTTTCCTTCTGTTTTAGATCTGGGCTAACAAGGGCTGCCTCTCTGTGGCATCTCGGAATGGTCCCTGGTTTTTCCTGCCCTCACATCCCATCAGATAGCAGGGTGTGTTGGCCAGGTAGGATATCATTGTCGTCCAGCTCCAGCCAGGAAAAGGGGAAGGACCTCGTGCAGTAGGAAAGGCCTTTTTCCATCCTCCTCGGAGAGGTAGCAGTCCATCAAGCGAGCAGGGCACAGAGCCTGGTGTTTCCCCGGGGCCTCGCTGTCCACAGCCTGTGAGCGTGTCCTTTAGTGCCTGCATTAGACCCAGAATAAAGCATGATTGTAGGGGGAGATGGGGAACCTGAGGCAGCCAGGGCTTAGGAATCGCCACTGGCCATTGTCACCTCGGCCAGCCGGACCAGGAAGGCCTGTGACCGTCAGAGTGAGGTGTTTGCCACCCGGGAGTGAACGCACTGGTTCGTTGTGCCTGCTGTGACCCCTTCCAGATGTTTTCGATAAACTGGAGAGGAAGGCATTTTCTTTCTAGGTGGTCCTGGAGTGCAGAGCCTGTGGTTTGGTTTGAAAAAGTGGGCCTCCCTGCTTGGACGCAGGCTGAGGTTAGTGGTCTAGGATGCTTGTTGGATGGAGCACATCTAGTTCTCGTCTTGGTGATTGGTACGAAGGCTTTGCCCGTCTCTGCCAGGAGCTGTGGGCATGAGCTCTCAGCACGATGATCTCTGAGTGCCGTCTTCTTGGCCAGCAATGGGAGAAGTGCAAGTGTAGGGCCTCAGGCTGCTAGAGATGAACAGATTGGAAGAGAAGAAAAGCTTGTGCGTCAGAAGGTTGGGGGCAGTTTTGTAAGTCCCATAGACCCCTTCTGTCCCAAGGTGGCCTAGCCTCGTGCCCCACTTGTCTTCTGGCTGTCCTGGGGATGAAGGCAAAGCCGTCTTTTTCCTTGACTTCTGTAGCTGGTGCTTGCACTTTTGAGTAGATTTGTCTGTTTTCTCCATACCGATGAGACCCTTCAGAGACCCTGGGGCAAATGGGAAAGCCCTCCAGTCGTCTGGGATTCTTTCAAGGGGGGAAGAGGGAAGGGAAGGTGCATGTGTCGGAAGAAAAACGAGCTGATGGACAAAACCGTCACGCTTAACATTTTGCTTTATTTAAAGTGACCTGTCAGATTCCGAGTAACATCACTCTAAAGACTTTTAACAAACCCAAATGGTAAAAACCACATGTGAAACCGCCGCAGTGGACAGCGACATCCAGGATACTTGCCACATCTGGAGACGATGGCCCACTGCCCGCCTCGGTGGGTGGCTGGAGGACAGGGCCTCCCTTCAGTGTCTCCTGGGGCTTCTGGTTGGAGGGTGAAAACCCAGCAGACACACACACATGACTTCTCCCTCTAAGAGAGGCCCAGACGTGAGAGCGTCATCGTCTTGGGTCGGCCCTGATCCGGGCAGGCAGCCTGGCCGGGGACTCCCTCTGAGAGGGCAGGTCTCATCTTGCTGTTGAGGGGGACGTTAGCCTAATGTGTCTTAATTTTCTTTGACCAGATACGGTATGGTTTATATATAGGTACATAGATGTGTGTATATATTTATATACATAGATATACTTGTTTTTAAAGAGTAAGCGCTGTTAACCATTTTTTCAATGCCTTGGGTCTGGTTGCCATTTTGTGTTCTGATTCAAGTTGGTGGGACAGTGTTGTAGACATCTTTTCCTGTCGTCTTCTCTCCCACCCTCCTCAGATGAGGGGGTAGCCAGGGCCCCCATCCCCCAAAACTTTCTTGAGAGGGGAGGGCCTGCCGTGCCAAATGCCAGCGGTAGCAATGGGGGCGTGGGCAGGGAAGGGTTGGCTGGTGTCCTGTGCTCTGCTCCCGGCAGGCCAAAAGACTTGGGTCCAGCAGAACCAGAAGGGAGGAGAGGGCTCTGTTGCTTTCTTCAAAGAGACAGGGGCGGTCCCTTGACTCCCGGCTAACCCCTTTCCTCTGCTGGGCCAACAGCAAGGACGGGAGAGGCCCAGAGACTGATTTGGTCTTCGGCAAAGAGTCTTTCCAGAGCAAAGGCAGGAGGACAGCTTGGAGCCCAGCTGGGAATGCTCCCATTTGTTTCCCCAGCACCCTGCCTTCAGCTTCCTGGGCAGGAGCCGCTCCTTTCTGGACGCTCCAGAACTGACGAATCATGGATGAGCTTGAGGGTTAGAAGCGCCTGCATACCACAAACGTGTGCAAACCCGTTGTGATGGCCAGCCCCGGGGGGCTGCCTGGGGAGAAGAGGCCTCCGCCAAACGCTGAGCAGACAGCGGTGGGCAGCTGAGTGAGGGGCCTCAGGCCCCTGGCCTGGCCGCGCGGTCGCTGCGCTGCCCTCCTTACTGGCGTTTGGGTCCCCTCCGCCGTCCCGGTGGCGACGACTTTACTCGTGTTCCCGCTAATGTAGCACAAGAAGTTTTCTAGAAAATGGGGGAAAAAAAGACAATTGCAAGACAGCTGCTTTCTTCCTGTGTTTGTAGTGCTGGAGGGCCACGTGATACGGGCTGGGGTGGACAAAGAGGCTTTCCATCTCCCCCCTGAGAGCGTGTCTGGGGGTGCCGGGGACGTGGCCCTGCCAGGTGGCATCTCCCTCTGTGGGAGGTTCTAAGGACGAGGCAGGAAGGAAGCCGCGACTGCCCAGCTGAAGAAGGCACGGCTCAGACCTTTCAGTGCAGTAGTCTGTCGACCTCACGTGTCTGCGTATGTGTGGGGGGGGAGGGGGAGGGGAGGGGGGAGTGGGCATGCGACCTTCCCAGAGAACCCCAAGGAATTAAATATTTGGAGAAAAATTTTGGTCTGCCTCTTTGGTCTTTGGTATTCCTGCTTTTCCTTCCCGACTTGTTGACCCCAAGGGCCAAGTGTTAGATAGCTAGACTGAAAGGATTTCTCTGGCTGTTCTGCCCCATCCTCCACCCCGGTCTGCACTGCTGCTTGGTGCAGAACCTCTTGTCAGAGCAGCTGGAACAGAGGGACGGCTGGCCCAGGACGTCCTCCGCCCGGGCTGCTGCCAGCTCCTTGTGGGACCTGCCCACGGTGACCTGGGCCCAGTCCTGGCCCTTCTTCTGCATCTGTCAAGTGCATATGGGGCATCCTCCTCTGCAGGGTTAAAGAGGATCACAGACGGGTAAGAATGTCCCAGAAAGTGAACTATGGTCGTCCAGCCTGGGAGCATAGCCCACGTGGGCCCTTCAGCCGAAGTGCTCAACCAGCTTGCTTGATTTAGGCGGGGGCGGGGGCAAGGAGAGAACACCAGCCCAGCCCAGCCCTGGACACCCAGATCAGCAGTCCCAGGAGTCTTGCTCCCACAGGCTCCCCACTCCTGGAGCCCCAGCTCAGGAGAAGACCCCCCGGTGACCTCCATTCTCCACCAAAGACCCTATTTCTTCCTCATAGAGCCACTCTCTCTTCAGCCTCATTATTGTCCTCCCCAGACAATGGCTGCCTAGGAAAGGAAACGTGGTCCTGGCCATGCCTACCCAGCATACCTTTGCCCACTGAAATGCCTTTTAAAAGGATGGGTCCCTGGGCAAGTCACTTAACCCTTTTTGCCTCAGTTTCCTCATCTGTAAAATTAGCTGGAGAAGAGCATGGCAAACCACTCCAGTATCTCTGCCAAGAGAACCCCAAATGGAGTCAGGAAGAGTTGTTCATGACTGAAATGATTGAACAATAATAGAGGTCTATTTAAGTGCTCCATCCAGTAAGAGGACCGGTTCTCTTACTGTATGTACTCTGGGGGCCAGAGAGACATACCATGCACTATCATTAGCGATTGACCAGGCTATCGGTTTATTAGATTGTGTGTTAGATTTGCCAAGTTACCTGGATATTCTTGTCTGCCAATCAGAGCACCCCCCTTTCCTTTTTTTTTTTTTTAAGGCAGTTGGAGTTAAGTGACTTGCCCAGGGTCACACAACTGTTAAGTGTCAAGTGAGTGTTTGATCTGAGGCCAGATTTGAACCCAGGTCCTCCTGACTTCAGGGTCAGTGCTCTATCCACTGTATCACCTAGCTGCCCCCCCCCCTTTCCCTTTATCAAGCTATCTGAGAAGCAGCAGTATGCTGGACGCTGATTCTACTGGCCAAATTTTCATTATGAGCATTTCTATCTTGGAAATTGGCAAATGCTACAAGTTAGGGCTTGATTTGTTTTGATGACTGTGTAGTCTTAAGAAAGTAATGTGTTGTATGTAATCTTTTGTTCTAGAAAGCTGATTGTTAAACATTTACCAGCACACCCCTACTGAGAGAACCAATAAAAATCAGTCTGACAAAAAAATCAAAGGATGGGTCTGGTTGTACTGGTAGGACCAAAGTTCACCTCCAAGGCCCTTTCATCTCCCAGACCTGTGAACTGGCATACCCAGTTGCATCTATTTCCTGTACTTGGTGTGGAGTGTGTTCTGGGACTTAACCCTCACTTGAGGATAGGAATTCTTCATCTTTTTTGTGTGCTGAACTTCTCAGAATCATTTTTTAAATGCATAAAGTAAAATACATTCGATTATAGTGGAAAGCGGTTATATTGAAATAAAGAAGTAATTTTTTTTTCTTATACAGATTCATAGATCCCTTGAGCACCTGTGGACCCCAGGTTAAGAAACCCCACCTTAGAGCATTGTTCTTTTTGATAGAAAGTGACCTCTCAAGTATAATGCAACCCTATTTTTAATTGGGGGACTATAATTTCTTCATCTCTAAATTTGTTTGTTCTTCCAAAGAAAGAAGTGGTTGGATGAGATGATGTTCTAAGGCCCCTCCCAGGCGTGATGTTTTACAGCTCTAAAAATGTCTCTCAAATCTGCTCAGCATAGTTAACTTGTCTCCTCTTTGTCCATTTAAAACCTAAGCTTTCAGCTGTTCCCTTAGCGCTCCCATAGGTGGCTGTCCCTGAGCAGGCTGCCCAGCTGTTTCTGGGACAGGTCTGCTGGTTCTCTGTGTCCATGTGGCGGTGCCAGCCTCAGCCCCGGGCCCCAGGACAGCCACAGCAGGGGGGTGCGCGCAGAGACAGCGGTGATGGCAGGCCTGACGTCTGGCTTTTCAGCCAGTCCACTGAGTGGACAGCTCCCTTGGGGGCTGGCCCGATTCAAGGCTTGATTGATGAGGGCGCAGCTGCAGCCAACAGACAGTGAAAAGGTGCCGACAACCTTGTGTTGCCTGCGCCCCACCTCGCCCCTTATCGCTGAAAACGAATCCGCCAAAGGCAGGACAGTGTGAGTGATGCCCAGCCCTCCCTGCCAGTGCCCACGCCGGACCGATCTCCAGGCCAGCTCCCACAGGGGGTGAGCCTCCCTGGCCGGGGCATCGGCTGCTCCCCACCTCCTCTGAGGCGGGTAGGCAAGGGCGGAAGGTGGAAACCGGGGCGTCCTCTTGGACAATCACACCTCCTGCCGCTCCCTCTGCCTCCTTTTCTAACTCTCCCTTCCGCCATCAGCGTTAATTAGCGAGGTGCTGATCTGCATGGGCAAAGGGAGTTTCCCAAGCCAATAAAATTAATAATAATAATACCTACCATTCATGTACTGTTTTCAGGTCCATCTGTTATCTCAACTGAGCTGTTTGATCCCAGATTCATAGGCCTGGTCCTAAAGTAAAATCAATGGTGGCTCCCAGGCCTGCCCCTTACCTCCCTCCCTCTGGACCCTTGGCTTCTGTTGGCCAGCCCTGGGATCACAGGAGCGCAATCTGCCTTTGTTCATAAGTGGGGTGCCTGTTCCCTAGTTGGGGTGGGGGAGGTTGCTTGGTGAGCTTCCACCTGCACCCCTCCCCAGTAATCTGAAGAGCAGCCCTAGAACAAGGCATACTAGGGATGGCTGTCCTCTTACCTCCCCCTGCCCCCCAAGCTCCTCGCTGCCTCATCCACAGACTGGGGGAGGGGAGAAGCACTTCCAAACATGTGAAGGGCTTCCGGAACTGGCAGAGATTGGATTAGGCCTGTTCTGCTGGGCCTCAGAGAGGAGGAGGGATGAGGAGAAGATGCATGGAGATAGAGCCCAGCTTGATTTAGGGGAAAACTGCCCAACAAAATGATCCAACAGCTTGTCCCGATGGGTAGTGAGCGCCCCATCTTTGGAGGCCTTCAAGCCTGAACCACATGAGCACAGGTCAGAGAATGCTTGCTGCTGGTAAAGAGTTGGAGTGGTGGGGAACCTGCAGACGCCCAGGCCGAATGGGGCCTCCTAGGTCCTTGGGTGCAGCCTTTTGACTGAGTCCAAGTTTGACACAACAAATCCTTGTATTAAGGGGATTTGTTCTGTGAATTTTGGATTCAGTCAAAGAACTACACTTGAGGACCTAAGATTCTCCACCCCTTATTAGGAGAACTCTGAAAATCCCTCCAAGTCTGAGGTTCTAAGAATGTCTAAAAAGAAGAAAAATTCTGGTTTTCCAGTCGGAAGAAAGAGAAGGGATGGGATGGAGCAAGGGGTTATAGTACCTCCTCTGACCCTCACGAAACCCCTGGGAAAAAAGGCAGGACAGGACATACTATTCCCATTTGGCAGATGGAAAAACTGAGTTTCAGAGGGGTACACACAGTGAGTGACCACAGAGCCAAAACTGGAATCTGGATCTCCTGCCTCCTAGCCTACGGCTTTTTAGCTTGAGATCCTCTGGTCCAGCCACCTTCATTTTACAGAGAAGGGAACCGAGGTCTGTAGTAAGTGACTTCCTTGGCAGGAGGCAGCCTGGGCGAGTGCAGGGGGCTCAGAACTTGGGCAAAGGCCAGTGGGGCTTCAGAGCCAGAGAGGCAAGAGGTCACCACCCTGCTCACTGTCCCTGAACACCCTCCAGAGCCCAAAGGGCAGAGTCCAGCCAAGGCTGTCAGCTCCAGCCAGTGAGTGCCAGGGTTCACCTGTCCCTGGCCCGGAGTCGGGGCAGGGAGAGAACAAAAGGTCCTGGCAGCAGAACCCAGAGCCCCATCCTCCTCCACAGCCTTGGGCCCAGCCTCACCAGGGAGGCTGGAGTCCAGTCCTAGGTTAACCTTTGCACACTCCCCCCTCTCCCTGCCCAGTAGTAACACGCCTGTCCCCTAGTGGGAGGAAGGTCAGGATATCTAAGTCTGTCTCCTCCCTATGTCCAGCCGGGTCAAGCCTGTCCCCCTGTCTCATGCCCACCTCCTGCTCCCCATTTCTCAGGCCCACCTGAGAGCTCCAACCCATTTCACTCCTTCCTCTCCAATCTAACCAGCTCAGGATTTAGAGCTGGGAGGGACCATAGAGGTGATTTAGTGCAACCCCTAATTTTACTGATGAGGAAACTGAGGCCTAAAGAGACAAAGTGACTTGCCCAATGTCACACCATAAATAGTAGAAATGGAATTCCTTCTCAAACAAATCTGAAGCCAGGGCACGGCGTGGTAGTGGAAACAACACTGAGATTGGCAACAGGAAGGCCGTGGTTCAAATCCTCTGCAGAGCCCACCATAAAGGCACTTAACCTCTCAGCCTCAATGTCCTCATCTGAAAAATGGGGATAATCATCGTCGTGGCACCCACCTCACACAGTGACTGTGAGGACCAAATGAGATAACTCAAAGTGTTTTGTAAAATTTAAAATGCTTTAGAATACCAATTGTTGGTGTCATTCAGTGAAAAGAAAAAGAAAAAGCTTCCCAAAAATCAGAGAGAGCTGTTCAAAAGTAGAATGAGCTGCCATGGTAGGTAGTGAGCTTCCCTGTTACTAGAGGTATTCAAGCAGCAGGGGGAGGGGGAGACTTTTGGTTGGAGAAGTCACACAGGGGATTCTGGTTTCATCTGGGGAGTTAGACTAGATGCTCCCCAATGTTCTTTTGGTTTTGACATTGCTAGGATTCTAAGTGTGGCCTCATCTCTGTCCTTCTCTAAGATCCAAGGGTTTTAGAGGTCATCCACAGAGGGCTAGCATCCTCATTTTACAGATGAGGAAACTGAGTCTCAGGGAAGTTTGATACCCCAGATCACATAGATCAGAGAAGTCAGAGCTGAATCCAGTCCTATTCCTCAAACAGCGACAGGCCAGAGGAGAGAAACAGAGTCGGGAAGACCTGGACTGAAGTCCTGGCTGAGACACCTAGAACAGGCGCTGAGCTTCTCCATGGCCAGACGCAGGGGCAGATCTGCATTGGTCAAGGGAGTTTCCTCATTGGGTGTTGCTTACACCAATGAAATAACGTGAGTTGTCCCAAAAAAGGAATGTGGGAGGTCATTTGTGGGCTGACGATGAAGCCAGAGGAAGGACGACCCATGGCCAGCCCGCCCAGTGTTGTCTGTGCAATGGGGAGAATTCAAGGAAGCTCCTCAGACCACTGAATGCACACTCCGGGGGGGATTCATGGGAGGACACAGAGAAGAATCTAAGAGAATGAGAGGGCAGGGAGGGGCTGCTCTCTATATGCCCCAAGGGAGGGATCCCCAACATCTGATCCATCTTGGCTCATGCCAGACACTGTGCTGAGCCCAAGAGAGGTGAAGACAGCAAGGAAGCCACAGCCCCTGCCCTGAAGGAGCTTTCAGTCTACAGGAAGAGACCACCTACTCACAGAAAAGTGAATCCAAGGTCATTTGAGGAAGGAGGGAGGGAGGGAGGGAGGGAGCACTCCCAGCTGGAGAGGGCA